TCTGGTTGCCCGACAATAGCTACTTGTAGTCAATATCCACGTAATGTAATAAAATACTGGAATCTAATTGTTTGAGACAACAACCTATTTTTACCCGAGTGTTCTTTATCAGTTTGAATATTTTATATAAAAAAATTACATATTAAGCTGCAATTTTAGTAGGACTGCAGCGAGTCAACGAGCCGCCTTTACTCCGCCAATGCAAAGAAAATATCATTTTATTATCCTTTGTAAAAATAATTCCTTTCTGTAAAACACATTTAAATTTGGTACTCCGTATTTCGTTCACAATTCACCATTTAACACTGGAAATTAACAATGCAATATTTCGATTCTACAATTTTTAGGTAAAATGGATGACTGCAATGCGTTTTATCAAATGTAGATTTTATATAAAAATAAAGAAAAATAAGTCTCTTTATTTTAAAAATATTTAGAAAAAATCGAATCAAAACATCAATAACTTAACATTCATTGTTCGTTATACTTAGTTAACTACTTCACCACGCGATTTCTAATATCGTTTCAATTTTTCATTTATTTCACATTATTAGTCCTTGCCGTATTACTTGTTCTGCGCGTGAAGTTGATTAAGAAATCTTAATCTTAATTATCTCTGAAAAATGTATTTATTATTATCTGTAATTATTAATGTGGAAATATCATTTCCACAAATACGAATACAGGTATGCAGCATTATGAATTTTATTGACTAAAATTTTAGAGAAAATGAGTTCAATCATTTCCGAGAAATCATTAAATAAAAATGTTATTGTTAAGTAAAAAATTAAATTATTTGTTTAACGAGCAACAAATTTATTTGAAATTTTAATTTGTAAAATTTCGAATCCAATAATTTGAAACTCAATCTTTCTTAAAAAAAAAATCGAAAATATTTGTAACATCTATAACAACAGAAAAAAAGTTGCACAAATTACAGTTGCTTTTTTTTAATTTCAGATTCATCAAAATTGTTAAGTCTCTTTTTTATTTATTTCACATTATTCTTATTGTTCTGCGCATGAAGTTGAATACGATTTCTTTCCCAACCCCATACCTAACGCTGAAAAGGAAAACAGCAAGGAAGTACGTAAAAACGGATAACGGTACTGTATCGATTTCTGCTTGGACATGCGGCAAATCAGCACTGAATCTAAACTATGTTTCGCTTCGCCCAAGTGCGACATGCGGCAAATCTGCACCAAACAGTAGAGGCGAAAATCCCTCGGACGCGATCTGGATATGCGGCAAACCAGTTCTAAGGTGACGATTAGAAAAAAAAAAAGATATTTGGTGGACGAGACATTAAGAGAAACTGGCCATGAAGTTCTTAGATTACCTCCGTACCATTGTCAATATAATCCAATTGAAATGGCGTGGGGATTTTATAAGAACTATTACAACAAGCATATAAATTCTCAACCTTCATTAAAAAATATGGTGGAGAATTTATGGCTTGAGGCGCTTTCTAAATGTACTCCAAGCATGTGGCAAAATTTTTGTAAACATTGTGAAAAACTTATTTTGACGGATTGGGAAAAAATATGGGAAATCTTTCGTACGAATCTATATCTCCTTCCATTATTTCGCTAGGTGAAACTGATTCAGAATCTGAATTTGAAAATGACGGTGATAATACAGATTTTCATAGCGAAATAATGGAAATGAAGTGAATTGTAGCTTGTCGGAGGATGATATTTTTACGCATCTTTCGTTCTAAATTTACCAAGGTGAAAAACTACCTGACGCACAACAAAATAAGTATAATTTTAGTTAGATCATCCACGTTGTTACTTTGCACCAAATTTTAAGCATTTTCATTTTTTTGTAACTCTTCATGAATCTGGAGAAGGCGCATAGTAATGTTCTTATTAATAATAAACGTTTGGAAGTACTAGTAATAGCTTTATAGATAAATCATTCAATTTAAGGCCGGAAAAATGTTTCAGAAGAGCTAAACCCATCAAAACACTAGGGCAAGGTTGTTGTCTTTTACCAACCCTTTTAGTAATCTTTGAAAAGTGAAAAGAGAAGTTGGAAGATATGGAAATAGGCTGTTCACAAAGGGCGAAATTTCTTTTTCTAAGAAGAGTGGGCGAGCAGAACGAACTGATGATTGAAAATTAAGGATGAGTTGCTAATTGTGGCATGCGACAATACTCGTATCTTGAACCTCCATTCATATAAAAACAATGTTTAACTGAAATTTTAGTGTTTGTCCCTTACATATGAAATAACTAGAGAGCGGATTTATAAGCACAAAAAATTAAGAATAAGCGTTTAAATAAGCTTAACACATTCGTTAAAAAAGTTTTATTTTAAGCAAAAAAGCATTAAAAACATAATCATATTACAAATCAAAGAACACTTCTTATTAGAACTTTGGATAAAATATTATTACAATAATCCTATACTTTATATTTTACACACGTATTTTAGTTTACTTTAAAACAATTTATGATTGTAATATGTTCCAAGTTGTCCACTGTAAAATTTTTTCGCCGATCATTTAAAATGTGTTTAAAATTGGAGAATGTGCGTTCAACATCCACACTCGTTGTTGGCGCAAATTTGAATTTTGCAACTAATGTTGAATCTAACTCCAAATTTTCCAACTTCTGGCCTTGTAAAACACGAGCAACGTCGGAAAGAACACCGAAACCTGTATTTTTATTTAACACTTCGTCAAGTTTTTGAGATACTCTAGTACCAATATCACCCCTTAGTGCGTTTGCTTGTTGTTTAAATTCTTTCACTAAGTTTATGGCATCTACCAACAACATGTTGGGTTTTTCTAACTTTTCTATTACCTCACATACGAATTGATAATTGCTTCTTAGAAAAGCTAGATCTTGTCGCAAATCTTTGTTTTCCAAAATATTTATGCAATCTTTAATCGATTGAGAAGAATCTTCGCTAAACTCCGTAACTACTTCCTCAAATTCTTTGATATATTTGTCATAATAAAATGTGGCCTGTAACCATGTTCCCCACCTCGTTATAATCGGTTCTGGAGGCAATGGTATGTTTGGAAATTTTTCCTTAAAATGTTGCACTATTAGTGGGGTTTTAACAAAAATCGTTTTACCATTTGCCACTAATTTATTAACAGTAGGAAACTGCAAACGTATTCCTTCAGCCACTCTGTTTAAACCGTGGGCAATGCAAGTAGAGTGAATTAAATTGGGGTACAATATTTTTAGATTATTCCCTGCTTTCAACATATAACGAGCTGCATCCGAGATCATCAATAAAATTTTATTCGCTGGTACAGCATTTGGCAAAAATAGGGACGTAAGACTGTCATTTACAAATCTGGTAATCGTATTGCCATTTGTTTTATCTAACATTTTCAAACTTACTACATACCCTCGACTAGGGAAATTTTCATTTAAGATTCCAACAATTAAACTTGCCACGTATCTTCCACAACTATCGGTTGTTTCATCGACAGCGAACCATAAATAAATTATCTCCAATGCAATGTTTAATTTCGTTGTAAACTTGCTGAAACACTGGGCCTACATTATTTTTTCGGAGAGTACTTTCAACCGGAATATGTCGATTGCAGTGTTTTTCAAGGAATTCTTGAAGAGGGCATTTCTCCAATTTTTTTAAAGGTATATTGGACTGGATCATCATTTTACATAAATCGAAATTAAACTGAAACTGCTCATCTTTTGTGGAAGTAGATGCAACAGATTCATGTATGGTCTGTTGTTTAATTTTAGAAACTTCAAACATTTTCTTCCTTTCTACATGAAGAGTCGTTCTGACATGTTGCGTCACGTTATATTTTGTATCACTTTGAATCTAAAACAACGTACATATACAGGATGAACAAAGGAAAATAGATAAAAAAAATAGTGGGCTTACGGTTTTCACACAAGCTCTGCAGAATATTTTGTTGTTTTCTAATTTTAATTCTGGAAAATCCCTTATCCACTCATCCGGCGTCGATTTTACTTTCGGCATTCTTTTAAAATATTAGTAATATTACCAAAAATAACTCAACATGTAACAAGGGAGAACCACGTATAACACTGTACTACGACAGATGCGATAGACTGATGGTTGTGAAATAAACGGTTCATTTACTTAAAAGTTTCCATTAGAAAAATTTTAATATAGGTAGTTGGGTACAATAATCCTTTTTTCGAGAAAATCTTCAACGGTCTTGCCGCAAAATGCCGAAAAAGAACATCTGGTTAAAAGCTTTAATTCATTCTCAACGGAAGTAAGGATTTAAAGTCATAAAATCTATGGAGTATTTTTCTAATCACAAAAAAAAAGTGTCAAATGACTCCAAATTGTATCATAGTTACAGAAATAAAAAAGTTTTGAAGTGCTTACATTTTTCACAAAAAGCATTAAACCTAGAAATCCGCTCTCTAGAAATAACACTTACAAAAAGCCGAATAACTGTTTTAAATAGCGTAAAGTTTTATGCTTTCTAAAAAATGGATACCATTAACTTGGTCACTACTACTGAAAACTGGAAGATCGGCAACAATGTTTAAATTTCTGGCATATTTTTTAACCTTTAATAACACATAACCTAACGAAAAAAGTTCAGGGAATTTTTATTCTTCTGCATCGAATACCAACAACCTCACTAGATTTTCATGGCCAACCCTATTATATAAAGATGGTGAGCGGATAATATCTTGCACTTCTTAAAATAATTTTTAAAAAACCCAATGGAATGACCGCTTGTCACCCGATGAACACTTATCACCTTATCAGTTATTTCATGTTTACAAACTCAATTTAAAATGAGTCATCTTGAATTCAATAGTTGGAAGGTTCTTCGATTTGAAGGCACAGAATTACAATACTATTTTTTCCTGTTTTCGTTGTAGTGAAACGGTTTAAAAAGACTAAATTTTCAAATGTTCTACTTACCACAAACTACGCTTTGAAAAGTCTACAGAAATCTCTTCGTTATCAAATGGTGGCAGCAAACAATTCAAAAATATCTTAAGGAAATAATACAACTGATAGTGATAACATTTATTTGCAGGAACTCTCCACCAAAACTTGATACGAATTAACAGAAATTTCCTTGTCACCACTCACAAAGTACATTTCTCCCTGCCCTGGTTGAATCGAGTGCACTTTTCCCACAATTAGTTCTCCTTGGTGCAACACTCGACCAACATTGAGCTTACCGCGATGTTGGTGACCCCCAATGACTGCTCGTTTGCCAGCTGTAGTCAAAGGTAGTTCCTTATTAGTGGTGTTTTCCCAAGAAAGAGAACTCCGGCTTGAAGTACACAGTATCTGGAACCACGTTACTCAAATTTTATTTTATTTTGTAAAACTACTCACTTTCATGGAAATTTCAGAGTAATTCACTTTCCAATTGCAAGGTAAGTTCAAGCCTGTTTGACCGGGGTAAAGGGTTGTCGGAATGACACCTTCGCCTGCTAAAAATGCTTGACCGATATAGGTGTGTTTACTGTTTGAATCAAGTCCACCCGGGAATGCGTCTTCAGGGATTTCGCCCGTGTAATCGCGCCAGTAATAACCTAAAAGTATCAGTTGACGAATTTTCGAACGAACTTAAAAGTTTCAATGTGTTCAATATTTTGGACACTTACCTGCTGGCACTGAATGATGATCATGATGATGACAATTGCATTGATTCATCTTGCTACAATTCTACAGCTGGTAAAAAAGGCAGTGTTTAAATGATAAATGTTGCCCACATTTATATGAGTTGCATTTAGGAAATTCCAGTTATTTCTATTTTTGCACTAACCTTTGCATGTGTGATTAAGATGGAATAATCACGGAATCAGTATTGCAGCGATTGGTCAACAGATGACATGCAACGGTCCCGTGGCTCTGTTTAAATTTATACAAATAATAATGAATTACCAAAACATCGAATGTTGTGAACACACAAATCGACTTTGTCAAGAAACAAGTATACACACCAAAGCCTGAACGGAAATAGCTGAAGCTACGCAAGAAAGGTATATTTTATCTCTTTATTAAACAGGAAAGGTTATCCAAGTAGTCGTCGAAATAAAGAACTATTATTAAAGTTACAACTGACAACATTTATTTTCAGGAATTATGTACCAAAATTTGGTACGAAATAGTCGAATTTTTCTTGTTACTACCAACATAGAACATTCCTGCTTTTCCCACGAGTAGTTGAAATTGCACTAGAAAGACCCAGTGTCACATGGTGAACCCTTATCAGTTATATAACTGACTTTAAAATGCGTCATCTCTAGATATAATCCCAATACATACTGATTTCCATAAAAATCCAAACACCTTGAATTAGTTGACTGATAAAACTGAAAGTTTCACTAAATGTGCACTAAATCGAACCAAATACATGATTAAAAAAACAACAGGCCTAAATCTTGTGAAATAAAAAATTTATTCAATAATGTGTGGGTCCACCTTGATTTCTAATGCACTCATATACTCGGCGAAGCATGCTTGAAAGAAGATGGTTTATGGTGTCCTGTGGGATCTCGTCCCAAGCTTCCTGAAGTCACATACGAAGGTCATTTAAATTATTCGGGGGATGCTGCAAGTTACCTAGACGTGTGCCCATGATATCCCACACATGTTCGATTGGTGACAAATCTGGTGAACGAACAGGGCAGGGAAGAGCTTGAACATTATGTCGGGATTAAACCAACGCCTGATAGATATGCTTGACCAATATAGATGTGTTTATTGCTTCGATCATGTCCACCCGGGAATGCGTCTTTATGTATTTCGCCCAAATAATCGCGCCAGTAGTAACCTTAAAATATCACATGACGAATTTTATGAAATACAAAGCTCCCAACATCAAAGGATCAAAATAGGAGAAAAATTTAATGTGTTTAATATGGTAATTTCTTGTTGAGAAATGGGGATTTTGCAACTAAACTCCGCCCTTCAACTCACAATGAATAAAACATTCGTCACAATTGAGAAGGGGTGGGTGGGCGGGGCTTATATCTTGTCCATTCTTCTCTTAATATACGAAGTCTTTTTTTCCCAACAAGAAACTGAAAACATGTGTAACTATCCTGTTGTTGAGAGAAAATTCTATATATTAAAGAAAAAACCAAAATTAAACCCCACCCACCCGCCCCAACCTCATTTGTGATGAATTTCATATGGTAATTTTTTGTTGAGAAATGAGGGTTTTGCAACTAAACTCCGCCCTTCAGCGCACGATGAATAAAATATTCATCACAATTGAGAAGGGTTGGGTGGGTGGGGCTTATATTTTGACCATTTGTCTTAATATACGAAGTCTTCTTTTGGCAACAAGAAACTGAAAACTTGTTTAACTAACCTGTTGTTGAAAGAAAACTCTATATATTAAAACAAAAACCAAAATTAAGCCCCGCCCACCCTCCCCAATCTCAATTGTGATGAATTTCATATGGTAATTTCTCGTTCAGAAGAATTTTGCAACTAAAATTCACCATTCAGCGCACGATGAATAAAATATTCATCACAATTGGGAAGGGGTGGGTGGGCGGGGCTTATATTTTGACCATTTTTCTTAATATACGAAGTCTTCTTTTGGCAACAAGAAACTGAAAACTTGTTTAACTATCCTGTTGTTTGAAAGAAAATTCTATATATCAAAAAAAAACAGAAATTACTCCCCACCCACCCGCCTCGATCTTAATTGTGATGAATTTTTTATTATTGTTATATTTCTCTGTTGATTCGAATGAGTCGGTCTTCTCAAAACAGAGGACTAAAATGCCTTTAATGAAGCAAAAAAAAATTTTTAAGGCGCAGTTACATAGCTATAATTTTGCAAAGACGAACTGTAAAAATTAAAATCTAATCTTCTCTTCAGTTCACTGGTTTTAAAAAATGTGGCTTATTTTATTTTAGATTTAATTGCGAATTTTTTAAAAATTAAATCTGAATTTCGGAATTTTGAACAACCTAAAACTATGACGATTGCTCTTCTTCTTCCATCCATTTGGTTAGCTCTAAAATTTCTCAAAAATGTTGGAAATGGGGTTTCTAAAATTTTCCTCGATTGTTTAAAGCGAGTGTTTTCGATCATGGTCTATGTTACGATTTAATTATCATGGTTTATAACACTTAGATTCGTAATTCGGAAGAAATTCTTTTCATTTCGGACAAAATTGTTAGAATTTTCTAAAAAATAGAAAATGAGTTTAATTTATTGTTCAAAGATCTGTCTATTATGAGAATCTTAGATTCTAAATACGGAGGTTTTAAAATTTTCTAGCCGCGCCCACCCGCCCTCTATTTTCTCAGAGGGTATGATGTTCGCCAAAATCAGTCTTATCTGAGCAAGTACTAGCCCGGCCGCCCACCTCTGTTTTCTCAGAATAAAAACCATGCTGAGATATGCGAATTACGTACGTTCTTATACAAATTTGAACACAATATTTTCAAAAAGTTTTGATGGGACGTACAATCTATTAACAGGGCGATAATTTTCAATGTGATGTTCATCACCAGAATTAAAGACTGATACAACACGCGCCCGACTTCCATAGCCAACCGAGACCGAAAAAATATTACCAAGTGGTACCATCAGAGAATCGCTATAATTATAAAAAAAAAAGATAGATGGAAGAGTTCAGATCATTAGATACAATATCTTCTGTAGTATGTACGTTATTAATATCAATAAGTGAATTAATTTTATAGGAATAATTATGGTAGCCACTGACACTCCTTTACGTATAAACGGAAGGGAAGTAATTGGTACAAGCGTTTACTATGGTTTCATACCCAAGAATATGACTATCGTTATACTTCATGGTATTCGGAAGCTCACAACTATTTTTCATGTTTTTAACAATATTCCAAAAGTATTTGGGATTGGAATGAATCTCGGATTCCGTTTTGTTTATGTACAAATTACAACCTTCAGAAATAATACTCTTGCATTTTGCTTTAAAAAAAAAACAAAGTCAACATAGTCTCTAATATCGCCAGTGTTTTTAAATCGAATGCACACTGTTTTTCGTTTTTACAACATTGTCACAAATGAAAGCTATTAGACACATTCACAATAGGACTAATATTATTCTCATCGTTAATAAAACACCAATCACAATTATCCAGTTAGTAGCTGCTAAGGTAAAACTGATTTTAGCAGATGCTAGCCCCGCCCACCTACCCTCTCTTTTGTTAGAGGGTATCTCATTTGCCAAAATCAGTCGTATCTTGGCAGCTACTAGCCCCGCCCACCCACCCTCTCTTTTTTTGGAAGGTATGTCATTTGCCAAAATCAGTCTTATTTTGGACCTTCAATTTTCGAACTATTCGAAAACTTCAGAATCTTTAGAATCTCTAGAATCTAACATTGCCCGAATGGCTAGAATCCAATATGCTGTAGAATTTAAATTACTTAGAATCTAGATTCATCACAAAGTCTAAAATCAGATATAGAGTTTTTAGCATATTTAGAGTTTCTGAAGTTTCTAACCTCGGAATTTTTGGAATTTATGGAAGCTCTGGAATCTTTAGAATATTCATAATCATGGGAATCTTCAAATTCTTCAGAATTGTTGGGATTTTCAGTTTCCAAAATATTCAGAATCTTTAAGCTCTTTGGATTCTCTAGCCTCCTATCCGAAATCTTGGGAGTTTCTAGAATCTCCGAAATTCTTGGGATGTTCAGAATTTTCGGGACCTTCAGTCTTCGAATTATTCGAAAACTTCAGAATCTTTAGAATCTCTAGAATCTAACATTTCCCGAATGGCTAGAATCCAATATGCTGTAGAATTTAAATTACTTAGAATCTAGATTCATCAGAAAGTCTAAAATCGATAGAAGATATAGAGTTTTTAGCATATTTAGAGTTTCTGAAGTTTCTAACCTCGGAATTTTTGGAATTTGTGGAATCTCTGGAATCTTTAGAATATTCATAATCATGGGAATCCTCAAATTATTCAGAATTGTTGAGATTTTCAGTTTTCAAAATATTCAGATTCTTTAGGCTCTTTGGATTCTCTAGCCTCCTATCCGAAATCTTGGGAGTTTCTAGAATCTCCGAAATTCTTGGGATGTTCAGAATTTTCGGGACCTTCAGTCTTCGAATTATTCGAAAACTTCTGAATCTTTAGAATCTCTGGAATCTAAAATTTCCCGAATGGCTAGATTCCAATATGCTGTAGAATTTAAATTACTTAGAATCTAGATTCATCAGAAAGTCTAAAATCGATAGAAGATATAGAGTTTTTAGCATATTTAGAGTTTCTGAAGTTTCTAACCTCGGAATTTTTGGAATTTATGGAAGCTCTGGAATCTTTAGAGTATTCATAAACATGAGAATCTTCAAATTCTTCAGAATTGTTGGGATTTTCAGTTTTCAAAATATTCAGAATCTTTAGACTCTTTGGATTCTCTAGCCTCCTATCCGAAATCTTGGGAGTTTCTAGAATCTCCGAAATTCTTGGGATGTTCAGGATTTTCGGGACCTTCAGTCTTCGAATTATTCGAAAACTTCAGAATATTTAGAATCTCTAGAATCTAACATTTCTCGAATGGCTAGAATCTCAAGCTCTATAGTCTCTAGAATCATTTGCCAAAATCAGTCTTATCTTAGCAGGTACTAGCCCCGCCCACCCACCTTCTCTTTTCTTAGAAGGTATGTTATTTGCCAAAATCAGTTTTACCTTAGCCAGTAGTATTAATGACTAACTTTTACAAAAAAATGATCAATATTTGGAAACACTACGAGATCACTTATATGCAGAAGGCAGGAATTTTGTACATCTTCTCTATTGTTTAGTTGGTTATGCTTTAATGGATTTTTTTTATTGGTTTTGTTTTTATTTATCTATAACTTATAAATGTCTTATTATCGCTATTAAGAAATCATTCAATACATTACGTACTGAACTAATTATGTATAAAATTTTTATGGCACACAAATGAAGATAATATAAACTAATAAAAACAACATACTTACTTATCTTGCACTTCTTAAAATAATTTTTGAAAAACCCAATGCAAGGTCCTCTCGTCTCCCGATGAACACTTATCCTTATCAGTGGTTTCATGTTTACAAACTTTTGTATTTAATGTGTTGCTCGAAAATAAGTAGATCTCTTTTTCCATGTAAAATCCCAATGTACAAAAATCAATGAACTATAAAATACCACATCAAGCGGGACAGGTTATGCAAGTTGCAAGAAATAAAGAACTGTATTGGTATTAATGTTACAACTGACGGCATTTATTTGTCGGACTTCTGTACCAAAACTTGGTACGAATTAATCGCATTTTCCTTGTTGCTACCAACATAGTACATTACTGCCTGTCCTGGTTCACTCCCAACCACTTTTCCCACTAGTAGTTCTCCCTGGTGCGGTACTCTTCCAACGTTAAGCAGCATCCTCGACCCACGGCTTTGGTAACCCCCAATGACTAACTGCTTACCAGCTGCAGTCACATGTAGATCGGAAGACGTGGCGTTTTCCCAAGAAAGAGAATTGGGGTTTGGAGTACAAAGTATCTGCAACCACACTGTTAATAAAACTTTTTTTCTATTTTTGTAAAACTACGTACTTTCATGCCGACGTCAGAGTAGTTCACTTTCCAGTCACAGGGTAAGTTGAGACCTGCTTGACCGGGGTAAAGAGTTGTCGGTATCAAACCAGTACCTGATAAATATGCTTGACCAATGTAGGTGGGTTTATTGCTTAGATCATGTCCACCTGGGAATGCGTCTGCGGGTATTTCGCCGGTATAATCTCGCCAGTAGTAACCTAAACGACGTAGGTACTTATTTTATAAAATACAATTGAAAAATTTAATTTTCACTTACCTGTTGGTATTGGGTGCTGATCGTGATGATGGCATTGATGACAACAATGATGACATTGGCGACATTTATCTGGATTCATCTTGTACCTCTATGGTTGATAAAAGCACTGTGTTCAGGTATTAAATTTTGCTCTTATTTATAGCAGCTTCACTTATCAAATCGCAGAAAGACCCACTGATACATGATGAACCCTTATCAGTTATATAAACTGAATTTAAAATGCGTCATCTGTAGATATAACCCAATACATATATAAAGATTAGTTGGAAAATAGGATGAACTGATGTTATTGATTAATTATATTACTCCTATTAAATTGGGAATTCTATTTCAAAACATGGACAAATTACATTTTTTACGTTGATATTCAAATGCCTTTTAGATACTTACTTAGTTTTCAAGCAATGTATTGTTACATTCCATCTAGTTTCAATATTTTGTAATTCGTACTTTATTCTTGTAAAAAAAATCATTGGTAAAACCCATTGTTATCTAATGAGGCTGAGCGGTTTCCTGTTTCTTCACTTTAATAAACTTTTTTAAAGTTTACATTGCGGCATCTTAAAACACATATTATGTCAAGATAAGTCGAAAAATTGCATTATCTTATAGGTTTGGCTCAATCGACATCTATAAATGAACGCAAAATTTATTATTTGAACACAGTATTTTCACCAGCTGTAGAAAAACAAGATGAATCCACAAAAATGTTGTTGTCACAATAAACTTCCATCACCACCAGGTAAGTAATAAAAAATATTTTCGAAAATACTAGAACCTGATGTCTTGTGAAAAGATAGATCTAAAATGTGTATGACGTCGTTATATTTTTAGGTTATTACTGGCGAGATTATACCGGCGAAATACCTGAAGACGCATTCCCAGCTGGACTTGATGCAAACACCAAACCCACCTATATTGGTCAAGCATACTTGGCAGGCGTGGGTCTTATAGTGACCAATGTTTACCCAGGTCAAACCACAATGAACTTACCTTATTATCAAGTGCACCCGTCTGACGTCGGCATGAAAGTAGGTAGTTATATCAAAATAAAATGAAGTTTCAGCAGTGTGCTTTCAGATACTTTGTAGTTCAAACCCGAATTCTCTTTTTTGGGAAAACGTCACTAATAGGGAACTACCTTCGACTACAGCTGGCAAAGAAGTAATCATCGGGGGTTACCAAACGAATGTTTATAGAATGATCCTCAACATTGGACGAGTGCTGTTCCAAGGAGAACTAATCGTGGGAAAAGTGACCGGGAATCATCCAACAGAGAATAAGGCGGGACAGGGAATACTGTACTTTGTTGCTGGTGGCCAAGAAAATTCTGTTAATTCCTATCAAGTTTTGTTGTATGATTCCTCCAAATAAATTGTATCACTTGTAACATAAATACGAATACATTGACATACAAAAGTGAAATTAAAAGTGTTGTTTCTGACGTATTTTTCACTTTGCGACAGAAGTACAAAATTTAACACCTTCACACTCACATTTCCAGACTAGACATCAAAAATATATCGGAAAAAGTACTTTTTGGAATTGGAAATAATTTTTGCCAAAATGAAAAAACCACCACCTGTAGATTTATATATATTCCAGCTATTGTTTACGTTAGTGGGATTAAGGACATAGAATAACAAATAAATAGATTATCTTTATCTCTCTCTCTCGCCCTCTCTCTCTCCTTCATCAAATCTACGTAATCCATTTAAAATACATATTTTTTGTGTGACATTCAAACGTTTTTTAACTAGTTTTCGAAAAACAGTTGTATACCGAACTGCCAAATAACGTATTAGCACGAATTTGTACTCTGTATTAAAACTTGATACGACTCAGCAGCGATTTCCTTGTGACCAGCAACAAAGTACATTACTGCCTCTCCTGGTACATTCCCGTGCACTTTTCCCACAAGCAGTTCTCCATGGTGGTGCACCCGTCCAATGTTGAGTAGCAGTCTCTTCTGACCCTTTTGGTAGCCCCCAATGACTGCTCGTTTGCCAGCTGAAGTCAAATGTAGTTCGTTAGCGGTGGTGTTTTCCCAAGAAAGAGAACTGCAGTTCGAAGTACAAAGTATCTGTAATCAGGTAATCACATTTTTGAAACTGTATTTTATTTTTGTAAAATTATAGGTACTTTGATGCCGATATCCGAGTAATTCACTTTCCAGTTACAGGGTAATTTCAAACTTTCTTGACCAGGGTAAAGAGTTGTTGGTATAATTCCCATGTCGGATAAAAATGCTTGACCAATATAGGTGGGTCTATGGTTTGAATCGTGTCCACTCCGGAATGCGTCTTCAGGTATTTCGCCGGTATAATCTCGCCAGTAGTAGTCTAAAATATTATTTGACGCATTTTATAAGATAAATAAATGAATTCAATAGTTGTGGTTGATTTTTTATTTACCTGTTGTTACTGGGTGGTGGTCGTGATGATGGTATTGATGACAACAACAACAACATTGGTGACATTTATCTGGATAATCTCGCGAGTGGTAACCTGGTATATAAATTAATTCTAAAGTTGTTGTAAAAATACACAATCTAGGTCGAAGCTTGTGTTTTTGTTTTCCAAATTGATTTTTTTTTTACACTTACCTTTTTGATGGTCGTGATGATGACATTTGTGTGGATTCATCTTGTCATCCCTCTAGAGCTGGTAGAAAGTACTAAATTCGAATAATAAATTTGGCCCTTATTTATACCGGTTTCATTTCACTATTTTCCAACTTATCTGTATGTATGTTTTATCGATGACGTATTTAAAACCAATTTATGAGCGTAAAGTAACATTAAGCTAATAGAGGCAAGTCAGGTGACAAAGGAACCGTCCCACGAAAGATTACTTAATTATTTTTACTTTTACCAATATTTCATATATTTACATTGTAAATGTGATAACTTGGAAGTGTCTAGTGATTAACTGATTAGATAAGTAAGTTAAGAATAATAATAGTCGAAATTGGTCGAAAAAGATCAACATTTTTAAAAGAGGAACGATTAAAAAAACATCTTTTAAAAAAGTTGTTTAAAAACCGACAAAAAAATCTGGGATATAATCGTAACCGGAGTAATCGTCAAATTTTTTTAAAAGGACTTATTTAGCATTGTTCCGGAAAAACACTGTTTTCGCCGGAATCATAGATATATTTGAAAAATTTTGAAATATCCTAGATAAGAGTTTTCGAAGAGTTGAAGCCCAAAATACCGTGAAGAATTCAAACTTAATAATTAAAATAATCGTTTTACATACATTTTCTTGTAGATTTCGGGCCGCAGAAGCCATATCCGCTGTCATTGCTTCGATAACTCCACTGGTTTTTCCAGAATCGTCCTTTGAAATATTAAAAAATATGCAAAATACGCCCAATTTTCGACCAATTTTCAACAAAATTTTCGAAATCTCACTAAATGCGTTTTCTTGGAGATTTCGGGCCGCAGAAGTCATATCCGCTTTCATTTCGTCGATAACTCCAATGGTTTTTCCAGAATCCTCCTTTGAAATATTCAAACATGTGAAAAATACTCCCAATTTTCAACAAAATTTTCGAAATTTTACTAAATACATTTTCTTGTAGACTTCGAGGCGCAGAAGTCATATCAATCATTTCTTCGATAACTCCAATGGTTTTTCCAGAATCGTCCTTTAAAATATTCAAAAATATGAAAAATACTCCAAATTTTCTACCAATTTACAACAAAAACTTCGAAATTTTACTAAATACATTTTCTTGTAGATTTCGGGCTGCAGAAGTCATATCCGCTTTCATTTCGTCGATAACTCCAATGGTTTTTCCAGAATCGTCCTTTGAAATATTCAAAAATATGCAAAATATGCCCAATTTTCGACCAATCTTCAACAAAATTTTCGAAATTTCACTAAATACATTTTCTTGAAGATTTCGGGCCACAGAAGTCATATTCGCTTTCATTTCTTCGATAACTCTGATGGTTTTTCAAGAATCGTCCTTTGAAATATTCAAAAATGTGCAAAATACGCCCAATGTTGGACCAATTTTCATCAAAATTTTCGAAATTTCACTAAATACATTTTCTTGTAGATTTCGGGCCGCAGAAGTCAAATCCGCTTTCATTTCTTCGATAACTCCAATGGTTTTTCCAGAATCGTCCTTTGAAATATTCAAAAATATGCTAAATACGCCCAATAATGTTCGACCAATTTTCAACAAAATTTTCGAAATTTCACTAAATACATTTTCTTGTAGATTTCGGGCCGCAGAAGTCATATCCGCTTTCATTTCTTCGATAACTCCAATGGTTTTTCCAGAATCGTCCTTTGAAATATTCAAAAATATGCAAAATACGCCCAATTTTCTACCAATTTTTCAACAAAATTTTCGAAATTTCACTAAATACATTTTCTTGTAGATTTCAGGCCGCAGAAGTCATATCCGCTTTTATTTCTTCGATAACTCCAATGGTTTTTCCAGAATCGTCCTTTGAAATATTCAAAAATGTCAAAAATATTCCCAATTTCCTACCAATTTTCAACAAAATTTTCGAAATTTTATTAAATACATTTTCTTGTCGATTTCGGGCCGCAGACGTCATATCCGCTTTAATTTCTTCGATAACTCCAATGGTTTTTCCAGAATCATCCTTTGAATTATTCAAAAATGTACAAAATACTCCCAATTTTCAACAAAATTTTCGAAATTTCACTAAATACATTTTAGTGTAAGTAAGTAAGTAAGTAAGTAAGTAAGTATTTATTAATGACCGTTAGGGTACATAAGTCAAGTCAGATGAAATTACAATATAAAGAGTTTAAAATTATACAATTTACAAGATAATTCAAATCGAATGGTAAAAACTACACAGGACATCGCTACAATTTAAAAATTCATCGAGAGAGTAAAATGCGTTTTTTAATAAAAAATTTCTTATAGTACGGCTAAATTGCGAAAAAGGTAAGTTAGCAATACGTTTCGGTAATTTATTGAATAATTTGGGCCCATAATAATTGATGGCATTTCTACTTCTACCTACACGATAGAATTCGGTGTAAATGCTATGGGTAGATCTCGTGATTAATGACATATTTGTGAGATTATTATAAGTGGTGAGATTAGACTTCACATATAATAAAGCATATAAAATATAAAGACAGGGCACGGTGAGAATACTTTTTTCTTTAAAATAATTTTTAACACAAGCTCTGTAAGATAGACCTCCAATAATTCGAACTACTCGGCGCTGCAATTTAAAAACGGTTTTTAAATGACTGCTGTGGCCCCAGGTTATAATGGCATAGCTAAAAATACTTTGAAATAAAGAGTAGTATATCATCATAAGGATCTGCTCACTAACCTCATATTGCAAATTCCTAATAAGAAAAGTTGACTTGGACAATTTTTTACAGATATCAATGACGTGATTATCCCAGCATAATTTCGGGTCCAGTGTCACACCAAGAAATTTGACACACCTCGGATTGTCAATCTCAGAAATGTAACGAAGGGAAAACACCATTTTTTGAGTTTTCAGTACATTAAGCGTTAATCTGTTTGAAGTAAACCATTCACTAGCAGCATTAATATCTTGTTCCATCCTGTCCAAGAGAGACGGGATGTCTGAGTCCACACTATAGCAAGTAGTGTCATCCGCAAAAAGTATGATTTTATTGTCTAGATGTTTAGCCAAGTCGTTAATGTATAACAAAAAGAGCAACGGACCTAAAATCGAGCCTTGTGGCACTCCTATGTTAACTATTGTCATTTCGGAGTATACATTATTAAACAGAACAACCTGCTGGCGATTGTGGAGAAAACTAAAAATAAGCTGTAAGGCTCCATTTGACAATCCGTACAACTCAAGCTTGTTTATTAGAATGTTGTGATTAATACTATCGAAAGCTTTTGATAGATCACAAAATGTGCATCCTAAGAATTGTTTTGTTTCGAAACAGGTAATGACCTCATCAACAAGCCTATTAATAGCCATGGTTGTACTTTTGCCATGTTGGAAACCAAATTGGCGTTGGTTCAATATGTTTTGTTTAGTAACGTATTCCTCAAGTTGTTTAAGCATAATCTTTTCTAAAATTTTCCCAAAAATAGGTCTATATTTATCAACATCATCTACGTTGCCCTTTTTGTGGATAGGGATTACTTTGGTCACCTTGAGACAGGATGGGAAAAGATTTTCATTAATACACCGATTGATCAATCTTGTGAGTGGAACTAGAATGAGATTCTTAATATTCCTAACAATGGTGATACTTATGTTGTAGTAGTCCTTACTTTTCTTTTTTTTGATGGAATCAATTGTATCTCTTACTTCATTAAATGTTATCTCTCTGAAATTGAAAACAGAGTTCACCGGAGTCAAATTTTTGTGCATTAGCTGAATTGGATCCGTATTTGATAATTTTAAATTATTCTCCAAATTATGTGGGATATCACCAAAAAATGTAGAGAAGTCCTCCGCAGTCAGTTTTTCTGAATAATTATTGCTACTAGCTAATCGTTTGCTATTGATTAATTTCCAGCTGTCCTTTGCTACATTAGTAGAATTTTTAATTAGGTTGTCATTAAAGGTTTTTTTTCTTTTCTTAACTTCGGTTCTAAACAATTCTCTATATTTTTGAAAATAGGTCACAAAAGTTGGGTCATTAGGATTTTGATTGTGTAATTCGTGTAGCAGGTCTACATTTTGTTTCATTTTATGTAATTTCTCATCATACCAGTAAATATCATCCTTTTTAACATTTTTTATTCTTTTTACTTTTATAGGAAAGGCCATGTTTACTTTATCAGAAATTAATTTGGTGAATAAGTTAAATTTGGTATTTGTATCAAGTCCAGCATCATTGATAAAATCAAAATTGCAATCACTAATAATATTAAAAAAATTAAAGAATCCTACTTCCGTAAAAGGTTGATATGATACAACTTTCGAGCAGTCTTTTGACTTATGACGATTATATAGAATTTCTACAGTAGCAGCACGATGGTCAGATAAATGAGTCTCCATGACCTGGTGCCTACAATCATGTGCGATATTTGTAAGTATATTATCAATACACGAATTTGCTCGCGTGTTCTCAAAGATTAGAGGTCTCAAATTATAAGATTTTAAAAAGTTAAGGAACTCTAGAGTCTGTTTGGTTTTGCGGTCAAAATGTATGTTAAAGTCTCCATTAATAATAACATCTGAATCGATTATATTGATAAAATTAAATAAATTAGTCAAATTAGAGTATAAAACTTCCAGATTGCCTTTTGGTGCTCTGTATACAGTTATTATGATTAGTTTGGGTTTATTAACTTTAATGGCTGCAAGCTCAATGTCAATTACATTACAAAACTTTGAAACATCAATAACTTGGTATTTAATTTTATCGTTTACTAGTATCACAACACCGCCATAACCATTATCTTTCCTGGTATAGGCAGAGGCTATCTTAAAACTACCCAATTTTAATAAATCCAACTCATAGTTTGTTAACCAATGTTCTGTAAAACATAAAACATCATAAGATTCTTCAATGTTATGTAAAACTACCTCTACTTCATCAACTTTGTTCCTAATCGATTGTACATTTAAATGGAAAATTGAAAAATAGCTATCACTAACTACCGCTTTACTCGTTAATTTTTTTAAAATGAAAAAACTTGCGAACACATGCTCCTACAGGCCAGATGTTGGGATCCAGGGCTTTTCCGAAATTGTCAGCATATACAGACAGCTTGAAAGATGAATATTCGCCTTTGT